CCGTCATCTCTAACAACAACAACATCAGCAGCAACAACAGCAACAGTATCAGGCTGAAGGACAGCGGCACCGACAGCGAAGCGGACGACATCTACATCGACACCAAAGAACTATGCAACCGAATCGCATATGAACTCAAAACCTATAATATACCTCAAGCGGTGTTCGCCGAAAGGATACTTTGCAGGTGAAGCTCGACTGCGACGACTTTTCAGATATACGACGGTTCATTCGTTCGTGACAGTATCACTGATTCTCTCTCTTCGTCAAGTTATATCACCACGGCAGCTCATGGCAACGAAACAAAAGAACAATTTAGTAAGAAACAATATTAGCAGCTTGATACAGATGTTAAGCAATAGCGAAAGCGGAACAACCCCTGAACCAAATCTATATTTTAAAGTTACGGAGTTTTTAAAACCCACGACGTACAGCAATATAAATACACAAAGTTAACCTAATTTCGGGTTCTGAAAGCGCTGTTTCTCAAAAATGAAGATTTCGTCCATTCTTACGGTTTTTGTTATTAGTTTAAATGATTTTTTTGATTCATTAAACATGGTTTAATTAGTTTATATACTTAATTTATAGCTTACATCATGCGTTGAGAATTAGTCAGCTATCAGGCGAATTAAGGCTAATTTCAGCCATGAAGCGCGCACATCGGACACAAAAGGCGGTGCTTTTCCAGGTCCAGGTCCAGGTCGACGACTTGCTACCCGTTTTTTCGTCTGTTTGTACCGATACACGGTAGTAGGAATTAGCAATTAATGAGAAAAATGCATGCTGCGTTTAAACTCGTATTCTAGCGTTTAAAGCAACCTACTAATCAACTGCGCCACTGCCCCCATTAATACTGTACTACTATGCGACTGATGACAGCTAACCGACGTCTAGATCTGTTTTAAACGTTGAATGAATGCAGACGCGGAGTTTTACCTCACCCAGCAGTTTTTCAGCCTGATGATCTCATTACGTTAAGTTGTAGTTATTAAGTATATTTTGCTGGATTTGCAATGCACGAAAACATGAATAAATTTTCAGCGACGATTCATTATCACCAGTATTTGTCGATCCACTGCTTGATGAAAGCCTCTCCAGCGCTTTGTCGTGTACTTCTATTTTCAGCCATTTTCATTCATCTTGATTCCGCAAATTTCTTCACCTCATCCAGCCATCGATCTTCAGGCCTTCTTATGGGCCCTTTGCTCTCTCCCCCTTGGAACCTGTTCTAGTGTCTTTCTGGTCCAGTCATTGTTGACTCGTCTTCCAACCTGTTCTACCTATTGTCACGTTACTTTCTTTACTCCGGCAATGACAAAGCATGTTGTTGTTTGTCCCAGCATACATCTTTGCATGCTGCATCGCTTAATCTGCAGTTTTTGAATAGCTTTTAGATTTAGGGTCCACGTTTCGAATCATGCGCGATGCGTTCTCAGGTAAAGATTTTTTAACCAAACTTTTACAGTGTGCAGCATTACAGCCAGGTGCAAGTGTCACACTGGAAATTTTTGCCTCGGTTTTTAAAGTATCTTCATAACCTTTATCCAATACGAACTTAGTTCCATGCCAACATGTTTATTCATGCATTAGTTTGATCGAATTAGCAAGCTTCCTTTATCTTCTGACTTACAAAATTTTTCTGATCGTGTATTCCTTTCATATGGTTACATAAAAATGCGGTGTCTTCCACGTGCTGCATTTTCTACAGCCACCCATTTCTCCATTTTGTTTCGACGGTTTTTTGCTGGTCGTAAATTTTGACGTAAATCGGCGTTGGACCATCTTGTCAGGTTCCCGAGGTGTTTTTTATTCGTTTCGTCTATGGTATTGAGTGTTTATCGAATACAGTTGAGATGACACATCTATCTAGCATCAGCTGGCTGCGTAATATTTTCTGGATTCTGAATACCAGCTGTATTCCATGCTATCGCGAGATCGTCTACAGCTTCTCGATTAGACATTGCACTTATGGCAACAATGCTGGTCTTGAAATTTATTGCTCACTTAACAGTTCTTGCCTGGCTACCTTTGTTTCGGTGGTTTTTAGCTTCTTTTAATAGCCGTTTAGGATAGCCAGGGATTGTGAGGGTTCTTGGGATGTTAGCAGATCCACTTTTGGACACCAATGTCATCCGATATCAGTTAAAACCGAACAGCAGTTGTTTATTGTTATATGTTGATTTGTGAAATACCTCTGTTGCGTGCTTGTTGCCTTTTCTCATGATTAATGCGTATATATGTATATCCAATATAGGTTTCAAACCCAAATTCTGTGCTTAAGAACGCACATTGTTTGTGATTTCGCAAGCTCAGCTTATTTAATATTTTTTCTAGCCCTAGCCTGTAATGTATCAATTTCATTAACGTTGTAGTCAGACAAAATCAACATATAACTATCGCGAAAATTTTGTATTTTCACGACATCTCGTGATGCTCAGAAAAACTTATCTGCGACCCCCATTTGGGAACCACTGAAATAGAGAATTATGCCAATATCAGTTATATTTAGCGCATTTCGAGATTGCGCTCTAACATCGTATTCATTTTGCAAGTGAATTTGTTGTAGAGCGCCATTTGCTAGTTATAATCGTTTGTTCAGGACGGTTGCAGTTCTGAATGATGGCTTAGACTCTTTCACGGGCTTTTGAAATGAGCTGGCGGATGAACAGCTTCCATTTGAGTTTAATATATATTCTTCTTCGAGACGACTAAAAGACATTTTATGTTTTGCTCGAACGAAACTTAAAATGGCCAATCAACGTAAGACCACATCCGCTCTTTGTTTTCGTGATCTACTTCGCAGAGGAGGGTAATTAAACGCAGAAAAAAGTATGCTGTGCCATTATTATAACATTTTTCAGAGCTTTCTATTCTTGAGAAGCTTCGGGAAGTTTGTTCAATTGTCGTTTTCCTTTGTCAGGGGAATTGGC